TCACCCATTCCTAGGAGAAGATCGTAGTTTTCCTTGAGATTGGTCATCCTGGACTTCACGTAGAATGACATGGCGCTCCATTCTTCATCCGAGAAGTATTCTCGGATGAGGCTGAAACGAGGCAGGTCTTCGGAAGACATTTTCGTTGGGACTCAGTCGAGTGGCGGTCGCAGAGCGGGATTCCCAAGAGACGCTCAACTGTCGTCTGCTAAACTTCCCGCGCTTGCCGCCACTTTTTTTTGGTCGGTCAACAGAGCGTGACACTGCGCATCGGAAAACGTAATAATGGTAACTTTTTATTAACGGTTTTCGCATTTCGTTGCATGTAAATTTTTGGTTACGCGTTTACGGTTACATTTCTCGAACCTTTTTTCGCTCTCATCAGATGGCAGGGCAAGAGAACCGGAAGTCATACCGGAAATCAATTTGAAATCCCAGGCTCCCAGGCGGCAATGGCGGCAATGTTTGTTCGTTCTCAGAAAGTTGTGTCCGTTGGTTCATCGTTTCGAACGTGAGCTCTGAAATCAATCCCATTTTTTTTACAACGTGCAGCTGCTCCCTTCCTGCATTATTTGCCGGATCAAGGAGCATCATTCGGAAAGCAGCTCGGTTAGTCAGATCCGAGTGTAACCATCGTATAATAGCTTTTGAATTGTGTGACCCGTTGCTCTGGGGCAGGGGGCGCGAGCGCATCCGCAAGACGCGACCATGTTATGGTGGCTGAACCATCCAGGTGGCTCTGTAACGTTCGATTTTGCACGTGCCACGTTCGAATGCAAGCATCTGAAGACGCGCGATAACACCACCTCTAAAAAAAATAAAAAAAATAAATAAAAATATGCAGCTTGCGGCCGCAGCGTCCTATTAAACATTCCTTTCATCTTTGCTTTCTTTCATAGGTTCTGCGAGCACGTATGTTTCACTTTACGTGATAGCGAAGCCGAAGCTACTCGCAAAAGCACGTCCTCCTGAAAGATGCTCGCACTGCACGAGCGCGCGTGCTTCACAGGGACGCTGAAAGCTCGCAGCTCGCTCTTGTAGCCTCTGCTACGCTGGCACTAAGAATGGAACGGAGTAGAAAAAAACTAGTGGAGAAGCTTATTGACGCATGTTCGAAACGCGAGCCAAATATTCTATTTTCCTCGCCTGGAGCGCTGCTCAAAACTTGAGAGCTACGGTCCTACTCGAGGTCCGCTGGAAACGTTTCGGATCCCGCTTTTGACATATAGTTATTATAATAAACGCTAGAGGCTCAGCTGGCGCTAGTGTCTACGGGACTTCCGGTTGCAAATTGAAGCAGACAGCATGCAGTCTACTTTTCCTGTCTTCCTGTGTATTCCTATGAGAAAACGCGCGTGAATTTTGTCTCGTCGCCGGAAAATAACATTAATGACTTTTGTTATTTCGGTTGTACCGGATAGTATGTACCTTTATTAATATTTTGAAAGTGTAATTGCTTTAGTTACAGCATTTTTCCTTTACCACTGAACGATGTTAAACTTCGCTATATTTCAGGCCCAAACCTCTGTTTCATGGCAGGTATGTAGAAACGAGCGTCGATTCCAAGCAAAATAACAATCGAAAGGAATGTAGAGTGTGTTTAAAGTTCGGCAGCATTCCGTTGGTGCTTATATATTGCTAATATATGCCTGTCCTCTCACTATATAAAAATGACCCCGGCGTGCACCTTTACGAGTGGTTAAAAAAAACGTTCCAAACGTAAAGAATAAAGTATGTGGGCTACGAAAGGTGTATTTTCTTATTATTTCCATTGTTGGGCAGTTTTTATCGGGCACCTGTTCTCTGGCTTCCCCCATTTGCAAAGATTTGGAGCGTGCGGGTGATGATTTTAACGCAGAACAAGCATCTTCGCATGTATTCATGAGCAGAAAGAATAAAGCAGTACTTATTTATTGCAAATCGGACTATATTACGTAACTTTCAATTTATTTTCATCATCTGCAAGCACAAGGAGTTACTTATCCAGAGTTACTGCGTGGTTCTTGCCGTAGCTCTCTTGGTTTTCCACATGTCCTTCGTTTGTTTGGCACGTATTGGCCTCGAGATCGACCTAGAGGTGGCGCTACGGTCGCGCTATCATCATCATCAAAGCGGGGATAGGAGAACGGTCGCCCCATAGGCTCTCCACGTTCGCGCACGAGACGGCGTAGATTCTTGCGTTTATTCTGTCGCATACTATCGGTGGCAAAACAATTCTAGCGGAAAAGGATGCGGTACTGTTCGGTGCTTCAGTGAAGATCAAATCGTGTTGCCAGCGTGCGGCCTAAATTTTTATAATCGCTTCTGTGTGTGCGTCGTCTGCTCTAGGCAGACGTTAAAAAGCATGGATAACCACGACTGATGCCTGTCTCCGGCCGAACTGGAATATTTATGTTAAATATTTGTTTATTTTAAAATGGATGTATCGGTTCATCAACATGGGAATTAAAAAAAAATAATAAATTCCAACCCAGATAACAAAATACTGGTGTTGTGGGCTGTGAAATCGCAGCCTCTGTGCTTTGTTTTTTTAACTTCTAGCTTTTGCAGTAATATAATAATCAAGAATGAAGATAAGTTAGCGCTGTAATGGAAATTACCATGCTATTAAGTTCCTCTGCCCTTTTACTGTGCCATAGTGTGGGTAGGTTCTTTGGTGTCTGAAAAATCGAATGCATTGCGATGAGGAGAGAGTGTTTCTTCTAGTTAAGATCTGCAAACTGCACAGTTGGCAGGACAACTGAAACAAACTTTTCTAATATATCTGCCGAGACTGTAATAAAAGAGTGTAACCGAGCAACGCAGCAATGTTCCGATTATTAAATGGTTTTCTCGGTAGTGTGGGTTCACCCGCTTGAATTTTTTTGGTGAGCGCCGCGGATGTCAAAAGGCTAATACTATAAATATCTGGCTAAATAATCTTGTATTCAAACACGGTAGACTTTGCAACCCAAACACACGACGCGCACCACAACACAGACAGCATCAATCGCAGTGATACTCTTTTATTGATGAGGGCTAGCGACCTTCACGAGACTTTCCGATCACCCTCCGCCCTCACCTAACGTACATCGGGACTGGACAGTTCATCGATTAACTTTCAGATTAATCAAGTAATGCTTTAATTGCATTTTTTTTGCCAGTTAATTGGAGTCTTGTGCTGGAGAAAGTCAACAAGGAGTAAAAAATGCCTGCATTAATATTTTTGACGTCTCTATTTCTTTTGTGACACAGGCTTGCACGGTAAACCACTTCAGCGTGCTTGTCATTTCGCCGAGGGTGATTATATGGTTTAAATAATAACTTTAAAAAAAAAACTCCATTTTAAAAGGCTTCCCGTGTTCATATTTATGTAGGACTCACAACGTGAAGTTTAAAATGGGAATGCAATATGTCATTTATGGCATATAGTAAAACCAGCAAACAAATGTGTAGTTTTAACGTCTTTCACTCAATATGAGTGAAAGACGTTAATCAACATACGGATTTATTGATTGATTAGTCTATTTAAGGATAGTGATCAGTCGGGTTACTTTTCTAATCAAACCGCAGACCCACTCAACATTCGATGCTTTATGAAAGCCACGGTTTGTGCGAGATACAAAAAACATGTGGGACTGGCGATTGTATACAAACCAACACACTAAGATTATGGAAGCTTCCGACTTAATAGTAATCGCTTTGCTGAATTTCTACACATGGGAAACGATACAACACAACCTTTAGTAAGAAGAAACGGCAACGAAAACATAAAACATTTAATAAGGAATGTCAAGCTCAGCCTCAAACGGGCTTGTGTCGTCGAGATCCATGCTTCTGAGCGTGCGCCCGTAGCAGACAACGCACGGCGGGATCCCCGCTTTCGCACGTTTCCCATTTCGGCCGCACGGTGGCGACACGGTTCGATCTCGGGGCGATATACCCCCATGCTGTAAAGCGCCGGCGCCGTGTTCACGCTAACAGTGTCCGACAGTGCACATAAATACATGTACGAAGCGGTTTTAGCACCGTTTTTCATGCCACGAATATCAAATAAAAACGCCGTAACTGACCAATTATTTAATCTGCGTGTCTGGGAAATGTTCTAATGTGCCTAGTACGTACGAATTATTCTTGATATTTGCTCTTATAATCGAGCGCAGAGAGGAAATGCACTCGCTTTTTTCCGTAGAAATGCATTACCGAAAGTCGATTTCGGACTGCTTGCTGTCTGCTTCAATTTGCAACAGCACACTAGCGCCAGTTGAACCTCTAGCGTGCATTATAATAACTCTATGGCTTTTGACGTTTATTAATATTATTATTATTTTATAATTATTTTTATTATTATTTTTTTTTTTTTACTTGTTCACTTTGTACTAGAAAAAAAGAAAACCTTTGACGGGCTCTGAAAATGTGAGACATATGCTGTTCGATTGCGAGTGTAGTTTTACGCGCTGACATTAGTGAAGTTGTCGGGAATCGTAGAAGGAAGAGCAAACAGGGCAAGACGTAAGTATCTTAGCATGTTAGTCTCGCCCCAGCGTTTGACCGTGCTGTTTCACCGACATCGACGCCTGTGACGCTAAGCTTCTTCTATATTGTTTTGAACGCAAGTTCGCCGGATTAAACGTTTAGTTCTTCAGTTATTTGCCGCCTCATCATTTGTCATTCGTGACAGTATCGGAGCTTGTTCGAAAATGAAAACCCGCCCATAATGCATTTGATATTCTTGGACAGTGTCCTCCGCATGACTGCAACTGGTTAAGAAAGTGCAGTTTTTTCATGTCACTCAGAATATACAATCCTGTATCCAGAAAATAATCACTAGGCTAATAACGAGACTACCTTTAATTTTGGCAAGCCTCCATGGTACACGTAGTTTAAAGTAAGATTCCTGGTTCGATAATCCAGTTTGAATGTTACCGTGATAAAATTCTTACTCACCCATCTATGATGGTCCGACTGCCCCAAAAAGATATTTGTAGCATTACATCTTCTTTATTTTTAATGCAGCTCAAGATTCGATATTCTGCAATGGGGCGACGAAGGCGGTTTTCGGTCCTGTCAACCTGCAGCGCCGAAGCGTGATGGGGCAGCCCTGCAGGCGGCTGAAGCGAGCAGCTCCGAAGAGGGCACTGACTCCTGACAAGCTGGCAGCCGTGGGCAGTAAGTTGTTTCTCCTTGCTCCCAACACGCTAGACTCTACCATTTATTTGCAGTCATCAATATGACTTCATGTTGACCACTTTGAGTGCTCTTTATTCAGTAAATACAAAATGAAGTATATGCATAAAGGTTGCTTGCATGTGAAGAAAGGCACCATTCCTTATGATAATGACAGGCCTGATGGAAGAATGTTCCAATCGTGGACATCTGCACAGAGTGTTACAATACTTAACACCTACAAGGAATCGCTCTAATTATTAAAGGGTAAGGTGATGTTTGTACGTATTCAACAATCTTTAGTAACTCGGTTAAATAATTTTCAATTGTTTCTAACATTGTCATGCTTGTTGTCAACATGCAGAAATTGAGGTAGTCTTTTTTTACCTCCGTTTACTGAAGATCGCTTTGGCTGTCGTCACAGACGTAGCTTTGTTTACCGCTGCACTTATCAATTTTCTCCACCGAGCCACAGTGGGCTGTGGTTGCAGAGGAATATTGTGTACTATTACAGCGAATAGGAGCTGAAACGCCATGACACCTTGCGCTCGGGACTATTAGTGCTGTTTGTCGTATCACTGGGCAAACGCACGCTGGGCCGAGACACATTTACTCCTGTGTTCGTTACGCCGTTCCAATATTCGTCACGATGGGTGCACCATGCAACCCATTGTCTATAGACACTTGTGAAGGCCTTATTCTTAGATAATTTCCCTCTGCATCTTTGCCAGTGAAGGGACAAATTAAATTGTTATTTACCCACTTGCTTTTTACTTGAGTGAATTTAACTTTCTTCTGCAAACAGATTAGGCCTTTCTGGAGCATTCATTAACACCCCTCAGAACCGACATTTCTGCCGCTGCATTGGAAATGAGAGGTTTAGCTGGGGAATGCTTTAACAGGCATTACACAGCAGTGACTCACGGCCTGCCGGTATAGTGCTCACCCCATATGACAACAGGCAGGTGTGGGGATCGCAAGAAACCTGTAGCCCTGGGTTTTACAGCGCAGTCCTTGGTTCTCTTGAATGGCGAGAGTTATACATGAAACCATTTGCAAAATTTAATCAAACCAAGCTCTGCGGTACTTTTGTGCAGAGCCTCGATTTGTGCAACCATCAGTTTGCGATGAGTGGCTCACGCTCAGATCTTGGTTCATATTTCTGGAGAATGACAGGTGTGACCTTGTCACCTTCGCACTCAATACCGCACCAGCCGTCTCGCTACCAGACAGCCGGAAGTGCGCTGTGGCACGAGCACACGAGGAGATTTGTCTCTGCATCAGTTGGTGCCAGTGTTTACGAAGCAATATGCCAGGTGGCGCTGATAGCGCCACACGTGCCGTTTCAGCTGATACCGGCCGCGATAGTACCTGATGTCAAGCAGCAGCAGTTCTTAAAGAAGCAATTCCTGGGAAAACCTGGAATTGTCTGGGAAATTTTAATTACCGGGAAAAATCGGGGAATTGTCAGGGATATTGTTAAAAAGCGAGCCCAGTCAGGGGAAATGAGCCGGAGACGCCGTCGAGTGCCCTGAGCAAAGGATTGGGTACTTGAAGGCAGAAAAATAGGCAATAAATTCTGCTTTTCCTCCTCATTTCTTTTTACAACGCCTACCCAGACACACACGCACACACGTGAAATGACCAAGGAGGATGGAAATGTTCCACCGAAATGCGCCGAAATTACTCGAGGGCGCGCCTTGGAGCCAATAGTAGTAGTTTTGGACCATGTGTAGGCAAAAAGGAGAAAAATCAGTAGATTTTGTGGTATTATCACTGAATCAGCAGAATTTTGAAAAAATCAGTAGGAGTAGCAACACTGGCGTAGACTATGCAAAGATGGCGACTCCAAAGAAGAAGATAAACAAGGAGACGGGAGGAAGTACCTAGGAAGCAATGGCTAAGAGGGATTCTGGGAAATCTACGTCCCTTCCGACCAAGCAGCTCGCCGTGTACTGCCGTGAAGCCACACTCGCATCCAAATTCGTGTATTACCCGCACCCCTACTTTCTTTTGCCCAGATATTTTTTAAAGTTTTGATGCGGGTAATACGCGAGAAAATATGGTATACACAAACTCATCTCTGTCATGGAGCGGTGGTGGCGCGTCGAACGCACTTCCGGTCCGGGGCTGTGGGCGGAAGTGTCCATCTGAGACGTGTATTCCTGCGTTGTTTTGAAAGGAACCAGACAGAAACCTGCCTTCTTGTCAAAATGCTGCGACTGTGGCTGTACCAAAAGGGTCGAGAAAGGTTTGATAGTCAGTTTTCATGCGCTCGGTTCGTCCGAGAATCTGGATATGTGCCGTGAAAAGGGAAAACCAGACGCCGTCGGACAACGATTGCTTGGGCGGGAAACATTTTGGGTTGAATTCACGGATACTTCTGGCCATCAGATTTATTTGTTTTGTTCAAAAATGAACGTCGGAAAACCGTCAAGTTGTACGGACCACATGCGGACTACGTTCAGTGTGTCTTCAAGTTCAAACGGTCGCCTGATTGTTCGAACTGTCGTCTGCTCTTTCAAACGTTTCTGCTTGTCGTCTGCTCTTTTAGAGGACACCGGCCCGTAGACCAAACGTGGGCCCGGTACTTGCGACAAGAAGTGCAGGCCTCAAAAGACTTAAGTTTGAAGGTTGGTAAGCAGGCTCAACGTAAACAGTAGATACAAGGAGATGTTGATCATTGTTACCAGTGGCCATCACCGACTTGTTATGCCTGATTCACTTGGTTAGATTCTGCTTGCTATTTTCAGTGTCGACGTCGACCATCTCAGCTACGGTTCACGCTTTTGCAATCTGAGCGACGTCGCTACTGAAAATTGCGAGCGAAATCTCATCATGTGGATCAGGCTTTAGCGTACGTTCTGCGGCGTCCACGCGAAATGAATCGCCGCATGTCAGATTATTCATGCGAAGTTTTGAGGTGTAACGAGCCTCGTTAATTTCGCTGACGCCGCTCAAGTAGTCAGACATCGCTAGGAGGACGTAGAATCAACAATTCTAACGCAAAAAAGAGCGCGGGGACTCACACCAACACCGACAACATCGCATTTCAATGGTTTGCTTATGGGCAACGGCGAGCTTCTTGCCCACACCCCCATCGCGCATGCGCGGCGCCGGTGGCGTCCGCTAGGGGCGCTCCGGTTTGTTTGTAAACATGAGTTGGTGTATACTGGTTTGCATGTGTTGACATAGCTTTTCAGTAGGGGTGTGCGAATAGTCGAATGTATGAATTCGAATCGAATAGAAAGTTCCCTAGTAATTCGATTCGTGAATCGAATTCCTAGTATTCGGTCACTCGACCGTATTCAATATATTCGGCCAAAGACGCACGGTCGGCGCGGAGCTGACACGAGCAGTTTTTTCTCCTGATGTTAGCTCCACAATGTTCGACAGACCATGCGAGAAACACCTCTTGGTCCTACCATTCCACAAAAATCTAACACACATGTTAGAAAAAAGAAAAGTAACAAACGCCACAAACTTTATCGCACACACATTTACTCATGATCGTGAAGCAATCTAACCTTGATTCACAACCAAAACTTCCCCTTTGCACCGCTTCCAGAGAGGAATTGTTTGGAATTCCGCGCCATGCCTAATTCATTTCACGAGCAAAACCCCTCGTTTCAAATTGAAGCGCCGATGTAACACACTTGCCACGCTCACAGAAATTGGCGACTGCATGGTCACAAAAAGAAAACCACATTAACCACGCCGATGAAACTGGCCCGGCCGAGTTGTCGTCGTCATTCTTTCGGAATCGCAAGCCGCAAATTCTGATTCGGAACGAAACAATAGTGTGCCTAGGTTTGAGAGAGTTTCCAACAGTTTGACATCCGCGTTTGAATTACGAACTGCGAGAAGGTGACCAAAAGACGAAAGCGCCGATCGGGCAGGGCAGGCGTTGTCACTCATTTGTTTGCTCGCCTTCTTTCCACGCGACTACAGAACACATGCGCACTTAGGACCAATCTGCGCTGGAGCCGTCTCCGTGGTTTCAGTTTCGCTTGCTCGCTCTTTTAAATCTAGGCTCTCTAAAACAGGATAGATAAACGAAGGAATGGATGCATAACGGCAGCTGGACGGTAACTTCCGCCACCTAACCACATGTCTTTTTTTTTCTCACTTTAGATTATATAGTTTAAGCCTGTTTACTCAGATTAAACAGCTATTTGTTTATCATATAAAAAAAAAAATCCCGAGTGCCCTTTTGTTTTCTTAGAATTGAGACCAAATATCGCAATACGCCTCTTTTCTGAAATATATAAATATAAAAGAAAAAGATGTTGTGGTGTTAGGTCGTGCTTTTATTGAGAAAAGAAGACATGCGTGGCTGTAACTTTGGGTTTTTGTGACGCTTAGGGTAGATAGATTATGTTTGCGCCATAATATTGGATCTTTAGTGCCCAACATTCATCAACAACTGCTTCTTTTTTTTTACCAGAATTTTTTTACACTTGAGATTTTGTTCCTTACGAGATGCATATTCTGCACATACAATAATCTCATTCGCAGCACACTTTGAAAAATACCTACAAATCAAATCACTATTCAATTCGATATTCGGCTTTTTTTTTCTTAATTCGATTCGTTATTCGATTTGATAACTACCATTCAGTATTTGCACACCCCTAGTTTTTAGAGGTCAGTTCCCAGAAAATGGTCTCGCTGCTCCGTGGTGGGCTGCAAGCCTGGTCATCGGAGCCACGGTTCTGGTACCCGCAAGGTACCGATAGACAGCAGCTTGCTTGCTGTCTGGCTGGAGACAATCGGATGTCCGCCTAGCCATAGCGGTGTCAAGGTATTTTCCCGACACTTCACCCGGGACGCCTTCCTGTGTCCTGTTGACTCGAACAAGTGTGTGCGACTGAAGCTTGGTGCTGTCCCTACGCTGTGGCTGCCAGAGGCAACAAGAGCACTGCCACCACAACTGGTAAGTGAAGCAAAGTTGACTTTCTGTTTTTGCATGGCTGCAAGATGTCAAACTAAATTTACTCAATTCGCTTCGAGGTGGGATCGGTGGCCGGGTGAACTCGCGTACACCGGCTCTGAGCACGGGGAATGATGGCTCGCACTGTAGAACTCAGGATCCTGGGTTCAATCCCCACCCCCAGGGATTCCATTCCTGCACCAGAAGTGCCATTTTGCACCTAAAGCGATTTCCTGCACCATCCTGATTAAATTTCGCGAAATTGCGCTAAAGTGCTCCAAAAGCCGTGTTTGCGGATTGGACGGCATTTTGCACCATCTACCCGAGCCAACAGCAACCTTACACAAGTGAGACACCTAACGGAACCCGGAACTGGTCCCGCAACCAGTTCCGGCACTCCGCCTAGCGACAGGAAACTGAAGGTGGGTGTGACATTTCTTGTTTGTTCTTCGCATCTTGGTCATACCCGTGGCGTGGTTCGAGCGAGTTCGATTTCTGCCAAGGTTCACCGTTTTGTGCAGTTACGCCACGCTTACGTTACCCCGCTGTTCAGAACAGCCGGCTTTGAAGGGGACTGCTGTGCATCGAATGCAATGAAGAAAGGTAAGAGCGTGTGACTGGCTGACCTCAGTTAGGCTTTCAGTGAGACTTTCGCTCTACGTAACGGGGCGAACTCGCGTAGCGTTGAGTCACGTGGGAACCTTTTCGTTTAAAATGCAAATATTCAGCCGGCGTTGTTTTTTTTTTTTAAACTGCGCTATTTCTGTCCAACGTCGCATGTATATCCGAGTCCCGTCGTGTCTTGTGAACTCCACTTGACATTTGGAGGCATTCGAAATGCGCTCCTGGAGACTGAAGACCTCAGCCCCATCTCATCAAGATGGGGCTGAGGGACAAGAACATGGACGAGATCGAATCTGGTCGGGTACCTCTTGCCGAGGCAAATGCAAGTTCGTCTGCAAATATGGCCAAGCTGGAAACTGTAAATGAAAAACTATAGAGGCTTTAAATCCTGGACTTCTTTTTACATCTCTTTGTTCAAAATAAATCTGGTCCAAAAATTGCATAAACCAGCTTGTTGTCCTTTTTTAGTATTAATACTCATTACATATAATTGATTCCTCTCAAAAAGTTTCCCCTGATGGTTTTCAACTGGAATATGGGATGGAGCACATTTGCGTTATAGCGAAAGATGCCTGGTGAAATATGTGCCAACTTCAAAATTCTTGTAAAGTCAACTTGGTTGCTGTAAAGTGCTAAAAATCTGTATTTACATGCTACAAAGTGCACAGAAAATTAACATTTGGTGCTCCAAACTGCTCCAGAATGCATATTTTGGTGCTCCAAAAATTGCTTCAGAATGCATATTTTGGTGCTCCCAAAAATTGCTCTAAATTGCATTTCAGCGATGGGATGCCTGCCACCCCTCAAAGCAAACTAAGCAGAACCCAGGATCCTGCATTCAACCCCCACCACCTAGAGTTTGAGTTTTCCCTGCACGACACACCTGCACAGTTCGAGTACTATTGAGTGTATATAGAACAAGCTACATCTGTAGCCCACCACCAATGCACATTTCTTCTATGCATTTCAACCAGCTGCTGACGGGAAAGAGTGGCCTGAAGAGGCCAGCAGCTACATCAAACCATGACAGCCCCGTTGGAGGTTCCTCTACTGTAAATTTGGTACCGTGGCCATCCCGACTCCCAGGACGGAATGTACATTATGCACAAGTTGCATGTTGCACTATTATTTCTTCTTCTACCCTTAGTCACTGGCAGGGACAAGGGACGTCCAAATTACTGCATCTGGTCAGCTCGACGCAACCTACATGGTTGGACCAGCCATACAAAGCATTGCGTCAGACACCAGTGTGGTGGGTTCCCTTGCCACTCCCATTCAACTCTCTTACTGACTCTCAGTGCACTTTAGACACAAATTGCAAACATAGGCCTTTCATATTTGGTGCTCACACCTTCAGCTGAACATGAGTGCCATCAAAACAGTGAAAAATCTTTACACCATGCCCAATACTTTTTTCAATGTTTGTTGCAGGCTTCCAGCTGCGCCTGTTTTGTTCCTCGTGCGTCTGTTGGTACACAGACAGATCCTGCAGACACAGGCACACAAGAAGGCAATACAACAGTGCGTAAGTGTGACTGAATACTCAGTTTATTGCATAGTATGTATATGTGAGAACCTCGGCATTGTTTAGTTTTAGTGGAAATTATTCCTCTGTTTGAAATGTGTATAGAATCTGCAACTGCACAGGTGAACCAAGAGTGCAGTGCTAGGATGCCACCTTTGCAGCCTGCCCCAGCACTCCAGGTTCAATCGCCATCTCCAGTCCGAAGGACAACCCCCCAATTGCAGGCCCAGGACAGCCGTCCTCGCAGTTCAACTCGCATACCACTTGATGGTGAGGTAAGTGTCAGCAATGTGCTGGATAGGCCTTCTTATGCAGGCAACAGTAATGATCCAGAGGACAGACGAGATGGCCCAAGGGACTCTGACAGCAAGACAAACTCAGATGACTCAGGTAGCTGTGACAGCGACACCAGCACCAATGTGGAGGATGAGTCAGCTGAGGACAGCAGTGACTCGGGTGAGCGTTGCCCACAATTCCCCACCATTCTAACGGTCATGCTAACCGCACCAGTACCTGACCTTCTAAAACGTCCTTACAATGTCCTTACAATGCAGACAAGGAGAAGGACGGCATGGAGGAGAGCGATGCTCCTGGTGACACCAGCTATGCACCCTCCACAAATGTGAGCTTCCAAAAGTAGTACTTTCAAATAACCTCCAGAATATGTTACAGTTTTATTTATATTTTCAGTGACGACAGTGACTGCGTAAAGGCACCACCCCACAAATAGCAAAAGTTCATTGTTTTTGAAGGGTGCCTCTTGGAGCGTTTCAAGGTGTGCCGCAAGTGCCATGCCCCCTGCTGCAACACCACAGATGTTGTCGGCACACTACTGATTGTCAACAGGAGACATGGTGGAGCCAACCAAAGGTAAGTGGCAAAGCAACAGGCAATGTTTGCATTTGTGCAGCCATTCTCTTTGGAGGTGCTTCTCCTGCGACCATCTTGAGCAGCAACAAGTCCGTCAACATTCAAGCCATCTCGGAGCGCACCTACAACAAGTATCAGACTGGTTATCTGATGCCTGCTGCGAATCGGGTAAGTCAGAGTAGGAATAAGTGTAGAGAATAAAACATTGCATTGCGTATTGATTTATAACACATAATTGCCTGCCAATGTGTATGAGCAGCAAAACACTGAGCTTCTGCAAGGTCTCCGAGGCAAGAGCATTGCCCTTGCTGGGATGGACGCTGCGATTTGCCAGGATTCAGCGCAAAGTACTACACCTACAGCTTCCACAAGGCAGTCACCAGGAAGGAAGGCGAGGTAACATTTACTAACTGAGGCAAACTAAATTATTGTAAAACTGATTTGCCTCTTGTTTACAACCACTGTTCCTTTCTGCTTTAAATCTGATTGCATTTATGGAGGCCTTGCATTGATGCTGCAGTACATTGTCTGTTTGAAGAAATTAATGCATACACGTTGTGACCAGTCGGATGAGGTGATGTCAAGCAACGCCATGGAGAAGGTGGCATTTGTTTGTGGCTTCACCAAGCTGAAGCAGAAGGGCATACAGGCTACCATTCTGAGGCTTTCCTGAAGCCATTTGATTTCATACAAAATATGTTTACTTGGAGAATAAAAATTACTTGACACGTCAACTTGCAATTTTTTTTATTCAGCATGTTAGAACACACAAATGCTTTAAAAGAATAGCACATATTGGCGTAAGGTGTGCCTCACTTTCTGATATTGCAGTCATAGAGAACTACTCCACGCTGGGGCATGTTGGATCCAGCTCAGAATAGTTCCATAAGCCAGTACTTTTTGCCCGGACAGCTGCTACCCCACTCAACAGAGCGAAATCTCTGGGGAACCCTAAACCCCGTCGTCTTCCAAGGCGCGTATTGTCACGGAGTAAGGCCAAGAGACGGTAAATTATGAACTGAAAAGAAGGGTTTAATCAGCGAACTTGTGTCAAACAAAATAAAGAATGAGCGTCGAGACAGCAGAAAAGCAGGCCGCAATTTGGCGGCGTAACAAGAAGCGAGAGCGAGACCGACTCGACAAGGTCACGGGCAGCTCCTTTTTTAATGTTCGTCGGCATCGCGAAAATTCGGTCCAGAAGGTTCGAGCACCGGGTGTTCAGGGTGAGAATGAACACGCACTTTCGAGAACAAGAAACTACGACGAAATGATAAAAGTTCCACCCGAGTAAGAATAAACGCAAATCTTCTGGAGTTCCGTGACCGAGCGCTGCTTGTTCGGCCCTGCGCACAGCAATATTGCACTGGGGTGACTGAGAACATGTAAGGCCTACAGGGCAGGATATCTAAAGCCACAGTATTCTTCTGATGGATAGGCATTCCTAATGGCCTTTACTACACAGGCAGGCAGGATCTTCCTGTTGTGCCTCCCAAGGCGGCGCCAAATCCACCTTGCAAACTGGTGGTATGCAACGCACCTGTACCTCCGTTGAAGGAATGGAGAATCCAGATTGAACTCGGGTTTACGAAGATCATATCTGCCCATGGTAGAATAAACTGTACTATCTCTTACAATAATGAATTGCACACAATGTAGACTCCTCACTGCACTTACCAATTCCAACCTTGGATAACTTCTTTAGAACTAGAGGCCAGTTACTGCGCCGAAGTCTGATGCCCGCTTGCCTCATTCCAAACTTAAACAGAGCCCTGTATGTAGGTATTCGGTTATGCAAAATGATTTAGATGGAAACTGACCAGTGTGTTAGTGTTTCAAATACCCGACACCACCTGGTGTTTAAGGCCTTACCTGTGGGTTTCCCTGTTCCCGACGAGCTCCCTGTCCAAGAGCTCGATCGCCCTCATGCGATACGCGATTTGGAGGACGACGGGATTGCGGATTGCCTCGAAGAAGTCGCTGTGCTGTGTGATGCAGACACTGCCGGCGTTGGCGGCGACTTCCCCCACCTCCATGCAACAGATACATTTGGCGGCCGTCGACATCACGTGGCAGTGGCTGCAACTGCACCTAAAATCAAAAAAGAAATTGGTGTGTGTATGTTTTTACAACCTATTTGGTCGGTCTCAACGGGCGACTGTAGATTCCAGGCTGTAGATGAGAAATTTAGACAGTGCAGCACAACCGCTAGCCTGGGGTCTTTAACATGCATCACGCAGTAGTGATACACAACCCCATGTCGGTACGATACTGATCCAGATCGAAACGGGCAGGGGTGGGGTGCAAAAAGTTGCGCGGAATTTCGCACGAGTCAATAGCAGCACTACACGCAAACTTTTTCGTTTTTTCCTCCTGACAAGGTTGTGGAGAAGGCGCCGTATAACCGAGCTTTCGGTTGCACAGCAAAAGATCCCCGGGTTGTCGAAATTAATCCTCAGTCCTCCGCTGGGGCGTGCCAGATGCCCGTCGTAGGTTTGGCACGTAAAACCCCCAAATTTGATTTGACCTCCTGACGAGGTGGCTCAACAACAGAAGCAGTTAGTGACCACTTCTAATCAACGAGGTAGCAGCTACGCTGTTTTTATAAATCGCATGTTCCAATAACATGCGATTCCAATAAAGGAATCGCATGTTCATTACCAGTCCGTGTCGTCGAGGCGCGGCGAACTGTTGGGCGGCAGGGGCGGTGCGTCGACTTCGGCATTACCAGCCGTCCTCTGAGGCGTGTCCGTGTAGAGTCGAAGCCCGAGCTCTTCGCAGCGATCTAAAAGTTCATGCTTGAGCTCCGGATTCATTGGTCTCGCTGCCTTCGTGGTGACGGCAGGCGTGTGCACGTGTGTTCAACGCCACAACACGCTAGTCACACCGCAAAATTGCGATATTCGGCCAATTTAGCCAGGCGAATCCAGTAGAAAAGGCCAGCGAATTCAGATTCGAAAGGCGTTTTTATTGCCACAAAAACAAGGTCAAGGTGAGGGGAATATGGCGAGTGACATCTTCGTCTGGGCATATGGCACTAAAAAAAGGATGAGGGAGGTGAGAATCTGCACATATACTACGTCCAGCTTCGCTGTTAGCATGAAGTTTAGGAAACTAAGCTGGCCATTGTCTTTGTCTGATGACTTCTTTGGGTGAACCCAGTCAACCAGGTTGTGGGCATATATGGGTTTGAACTTGGTCCGAATTTGTTGATAGTAGGGGCATTCCCATAAGAGATGAGTCATACCTCCTTTTATGTTGTTCGTGCATTTGTTGCACGTGCTGGAGCGTCTTTGCTCCAGGCCCGCTGGGGAGCGGGTGGCGCCTGCCATGATGCGGGTGAGGAGGACCTTGTCCCTTCTTCCGATTCCTCGGTAGAAGGTAGGGCGTCTGGGGCAGGCTTCCTCACAATCTTTTTCCGCACCTCTCCTTGATTAGGATCTCCTCGTCAGGATCATATTCTTCGTCATCACATAACGTCTTCCCATTACCGGGTGCAGCGTATCCGTGGTCGTGTGGTTGTGAGGATGTGGGCACTCCCCCTAACCCGCAGAAAGAAACTAGCGCCGCGCGAGTGAGTTGATGCACCTTTTCATTGCCGAGGATCCCTGCATGGCCCGGGATCCAGCCTATCTTGATGGTGGTGCCAAGATGACGTAGTTCGGCTGCCATTTTCTTTATTTCCTTGACCTTCCTGCTTGCGCTGGAGCCTTTCTTACACTCTCGTACTGGCTCCTAGGCGTCTGTTAAGAGGCTGAGCTCCCTCGGACGTAGGTCTTGCCAGTGATGCGTGAAGAAGTTGAAAGCCAGGAGGATGACTTCGAGCTCTCCTCCCTTGATCGTGGTTCTTGTGGGTAGTTGGCAGCATTCCGTGACCCCCACAGCGGGGTCGAGAAACACCGCTGCCCCAGCAGGTGTCGATGTGTCATCTCATGCGTGGTCTGTGTTTACTGCCAGGATCTCGCTCGGGTCGGTCCAGTGCTCCACCATCTTCCGGCGTGCGTTGGTGATCCGCTCGTTCCTTTTTTCGTCCCCTTTCTTGACTCTAAGAGGCCTCCTTTCGGTAAAGTCTGGCCTGTCTTCCCACAACGGAAGCCATTCGGGCAGGTTTGGTAGGTCTTCTAGGTTGTTGCCTAGCAGCCCCAGGATCTGTCTTCCTTGCTTTGTGTGTTGAAGTCTTTCTTTATGCACCACGACCCTGGCTTGGACAGTGTCCTGTAAGGTGTTGAGCTGCGCCCATTTATCTAATTATATCTTTTTAGTAAAAAAGGGTAGGCCCGTAAACACTCTCATCGCAAGCCTATTGAGTGTCTCAAGCCTTCCCCACTTAACTTTGGTTAGATTGTAGTGTCGGCAATCCTAAAACATGTTTTTTAACGCAATTGCGAACGCACTACGGCCCTTCTTTTTGAAATGCCAAAAATCGAGAGTTCGTTGTGGTGCCGTCTCCTGGATTTGTATCCTCCAACGGAAAACAGGCGACACCGCTCAAAACCGGTCCGCCGCAACGCCGGCGCTCGCTCCTTTCCTCCTCGCTTTGGGTCGCCATGGCAACAGCAGGGAGTCGTAAAGGAAAGTGGACTCTCAGGACTCCGCAATATTTGACGTCAAGGCACCGGCGCCGATCGCGCGGGAACTTAGAATTCGGCATTTGGAAATTGTTTTTTTACTTCACAAATACTGAATTCCCAAATTTCAAATTTTGAGAGTAATGTCCCGGCATCGTTTTCAATTGTTTCGGATAATAAAAAAAAA